TTTTATCCTCTACGCCACTGATCGGCTCGTTAGCCGCTTGGGCGATCGGTCACGTCTCTGATTACTTTTCCTTTTCATATAAGTGTTATATTATATCTTAAGTAAATAAGAAATAATTGTATCTAAACCATGACCAGTTTTGTCTCACAGCATTAAGCCATAACAACATTTTCCTTCGACACATCAGTTCAGTCAGTTTGTGCGTGTGTTAAGTTGTCATACTTTTGTTTTTCCTGCACTTAACATCTCCAAAACCAATGCACTAAAGAATTAAAAACACCTCCTCCCTCCCAAACCTCTTTCAAGGAATTGGCATCAAGGTTTGAATCCGTCATACATGCTGGTAGTGTGCCCGTGACCCAACACACCTTCTGCACCATTGATGGATGAAAGCTCACTGAATTCGTTGGTTGTGGACAGAGTTGAATGTACTGCGGGGGCGGCAGGCGCGGCTGGAGGGTGAGGTAGAGCGTGAACGTGGAGCCCTGAAGGAAGCTCATGTACGGCAGGAGCGGCTACACAGAGCTGTGGCCACGTTGGATGCCAGACTCCACCTGGAGAATCAAGAAAGGGAAGCCACCTCGCGTGATGCTCATGCCTCAGAGACACAGCTCCTCGCCAGCCTCCAGGTGATCTTGACGTCCAGCTCGTGGAGAGTTAATCCACTCATGTCACTCTGGGTAGTCGAGTCGTGATGTTGTAGTTGTTCCCGTAAACACTAATCACACTTTTTATATGACCCATAACACCCAACTCCCCCCGGGGCTGAGGAAAGGCTTATTAAATTATATTCCTCCACTCATTAGTATCACCAACCTTCAACAGCACATTACCACACTTTCCTGACTTCTGTCCACGTTATTATCATAGACTCTTAAGTGCACAAACCAGTTATCATCGTTCTTCTCTTCATCCTTTACTCTCCATTCCGTTTCTCTTTATGGCAGCGTCTCAGTACAATAACAACCGCGCGCCATTTTACCTGTTATCTCTGCACTTGGATCTCATGTGAAATCATCAAATGGATTCTCGCATCTCCAGTGAGGGAGGAAAATAAACAACTTAGCCAACTGAATGTCTATATCCTGGCCAAGGTAATACTGACGTTTGAAGGTTGTCAGTAGACCTAAGGAGGGTGTAGACTATTGAATCTCCCGAGACATGTTGTAGCGTCTGACTCCACACACCAACCCTACTTCCGCTACTTCTTCAGGAGCTGGAGCAGGAGGAGGAGAGAAAGGAGAGGGAGCTAGATAGACAACGAGAAAAAAAGGACAAGATAGAGGGAGAACTGTTGGGAACCACGCAGGAGAGGACCCGCTGGGAGAGGAGCCTGGTGGAGCTGCGTGACGCCAAGGACTCCCTCACTAAGGAGACCGGGGTCGAGGGGGACCTTCACTTCATGAGGACGGAGATCAACCGCATGCAGGTGAGGCGCATAAAAACACAATCAGAAATAAGCACACTTGCAAATGCTTGAGAAATACAGACCAGGTGCTGACTCTTACGAGTGGTTCACTCAGCAACAAACACAGACTAGGTATAATTTGCTGTACATTATAAAAACAAACTCCCAACCTCATGACATCTTCATTATGTATCAGCCCATACGAATGACATCAAAGTGGAATACATAGTTGTACGTGTTAAAATCGTCCAGTAACATGTGGATCATCTCTCTCTCTCTCTCTCTCTCTCTCTCTCTCTCTACGTGTAGGGTCGCTGGCGCACACTAGAGGCGACACAGAGGGAATTATCAGGTCAGCTGGAACAGAGCGTGAGTGTGGAAGGTTCCCTCAAGACCCGCACGCTGGCCACGGTGCAGAAATTGCGCCGTGACCCTAACTCAGCTAAGGCCACCAGGCTGATGCATGAAGACATCCTCAAGAGGAAGATTGCCAAAATTAAAAGAGTGAGATATACGTCGTCACTGTCTCTCCATCTTAGTGTTGATATAATTTGCTGTGGGTGGAGGAGATGGGATGTTTCCGATGGGGGTAATGTTGGGGGTGGGGGGCGGAGGAGATAAAGTGGGGGGAGGGGGAGAAGTTTAACTCATGGACTATAGGAACAAAGTAAAAATCCAGAACCTCGATCATACAATAAGTTGCTTGTTGAAGTTATATCCGAGTCGTGTTTACACTTCCATTTTTCATCTGGTAAAGCTTACTGTTAGGAAGTACAGTAACTATGGTGCCTGAGTGTTGGTTAATTTGAGCTATATCAAGTCATTATACACACAGTACAGTGCAGAGTATTAAACATGAGTACTGACTAGACTGGACTTTTTGTACTGCGTCACAATCTCACTGTTACGTGTTGTTACCAGAGACCCAGTGTTACCCCCTCACAACCAAGAGTAGTAGAGTACATGTTGTTATAACTGTTATAACTTGTGTACATGTAGAGGCTGAGTGAGCTAGAGGATGCGACGGAGGCGGCGAGGGAGGAGCGAGAGCGCCTAGAGGAGGAGGGGCAGCGTAAGGAGAGGCTCTACGCCCAGAATGTCCGCCTGCTGCAGGAGGCTGCCACCCACCTGGAGGAACGGCTCGTCAAGAAGCAGGAGGTGGGACAACTCTCTCTCTCTCTCTCTCTCTCTCTCTCTCTCACACAATTGTATTGTCCAACTCTGGTCTGTGTCACACATCTTCACACAACCCTGATCTCTTACAGGAGCAGCTGCGGTTACAGGAGAGCCGGGCGAGGCTGCGGCACTTGACGGCGCTACGAGACGATCAGTATAAGACACTCTCGGCACCTAGGGAAGACGCCCAGTACGCCCTCAAAACGAGACTGGTTACGCGCGCCCACGCCTATACGGGCGTCGTTACTCAGCTGGAGACAGGATACCCGCAGATGGAGGTCAAGCTCAGGAATATCAAGGTCCTCCTCCATAACTTCCTTGAGTGAAGACGCTGTCTACATCTCCAACCCCACAAGTGTACTTATGTACTACACCAATACTGTACTGTACTGTACTAATTACCTCAACTAACGTACCTTGTACTTACTGATTGTTGTACCATACTGTAATAGTTACCATAATTAATGTATACAATTTGTGGATCAGCTGGTGGCCGGGGTAGTCAGACAACACTATGGGATGACAGCCTCGAGCCCACCCAACCTCTTTTACAGTGTGTCAATTCTAAACTTTCAAACACTAGATTAAATTCCCCTTGTGAAGCAGAGTAAGAATCACACAGCATTCCTTAGCACTGTTCTCAGAATGTAACGGTCATTTTACTATGAATATTTTCCATAAACCTTCGTTCACAGTGTTAGGACTCAGTTGTGTCACTTTTAATCTTAAGCTGTATAAGATAAAGAGTTAAAACACTACTCAATTGTGTAACTTATTTTCCAACTTACAATTGTTTGATGGAGAAATAAAATTTTGTCATCCATTGAACTAGTTCCTTCATAATGGCTTTCTGGTAATCTTGTAATTATTCAAAATCTTCAAGAAATTCCATAAAACTAAAGGCTAAGATAAACGGGGTTTACGTCTGCAGGGAAGTGGGTACACAGACACTCGTGGGTCGTAAAGAAAGTCAATCTATATCTTTTACCCCTTGGGTTTTCAACTCTCAGTGGGAGAATAAATATGCCTTTAGGTCTTATAAGAAGGTCGTTCAGATATCTAGATTCTAGACGGTCCGTCCCTCGTAACGATCTTCAAGAGTGAAGTGCTTCCCCATCTGGAGTGCTGTCACCCCGTCTGGTCCCCGAGATATACTATACAGTAGGGACTGTCAGTTGATTGAAAATGTTGAAAGGAGGGCCACCAGACTGGTGCCTGCACTTTGGCACCTCAACTACCCTGATAGATTGGAGCGCCTGAACTTGTCTAGCTTATAATACAGACGGGCAAGGGGCGAACTAATTGAGGTGTATAAAGCATCTCAAGGGGCCCTACTCAGTCGAGTGTCCTTACTTGGAGCTGGCAGACGCTCGCCCCACAAGGGGTCACAGCTCAAAATTGAAGAAGCCGCAAGTCCCGAAAACTGTGAGGGCAAACTTTTTTCGGAGTCAGAGCTGTGAACTCTTGAAACAATCTGCCAGAAAGAGTTGTGACGGCACCGAGTGTGAGCTCTTTCAAGACAAGACTTGACCAACACTGGAGAGGGTTCAGGTACATTCAGGAGCCGGTGCATGCCCAGTACTTGCCAACAGTGCGTAACAGAGACGTGACAGATCGTCCAAGCGGCTAACGAGCCGATCAGTGGTGAAGAGGATAAAAGTAAAAGTAAAATTAATGAATAAAATTAAATATATGAGTCACCCTCCTCACCCAACTCGCGTTTTCTGTCTCTGTGCCCTCAGGGTATTGCACCCACTCGTTGAGTTGTTAGATACCCAAATTATCTTATCGTCTTATCGCTCTCTGCTGAGTTAGCCATAATTATTCCTGTGTAGAGCGGTATAGTATCGCTTATAGCATTCACTGTGAGTATGTCATATGTTACTTAATCGCAGGAATCTGATCTGACTCACATACGAAGTACAATGTCCCAGAGAGCTGAAACCCGAGATCAGAAAAATAGTTGTTTAATAATGTTATCGTCAACTTTAAGTAGTCCAACTTATGCATATAAACAGTCGTACACGTCAAAGTTCTAATGTTACGTAATGTGAATTCTTAAAGAAATGTAAGGATGTATAAGTGCGGTATTTATATAACTAAGGCACGCTTTACTAAGGTGAGATAAACATACTGTATTCACTACAGTACTATCACTACTATACTGAGTAATCTTACTGGTACCACTTGAACAGTTCCTTTTGTTAGGTGGTGACTCCCACCATCACATCCAGACAATAAGCTCTATAATTATCATCACTTTCATATTTAAATTATGTACCATGGGCAAGTTACCTTTGTGAATGGATGCAATGGATGCTGGGCGTAGGCGTGCAGTGACATACAAAAACATTAGTTGGTAACAGCAAGTAACAGGTGGTAAGAGAGTCAAGCGGCTTGAGCCTCGATGAGGCCACTTGTAGTCAACGCTGCCAACACGGTGGGTGTGATAACCCAATCCCGACTAGCACTAATTCAAGGATCTATAGTTTACATTGGGTATTCGTTGGCTTCATCTTTTTTATTACCCAGGCTGTCGTAAAATGTCTGTGTTAATATAATAGAAGTTGCCAGAAAACAGAGATCATGTGTTGGAAGACATAAAGATCGCAGTAACTCTTGGTACAGTATACGACTGTAAACTTAAGAACAAAAGGTGATCTAGTGAACCAGAGCGATGAAGACAATTGCAGTGAAGGTGGTGGTCCTGGGGTCCCAAGGTGAGGAAGATTTTTGTCATATCCCCTGTATTTATAAACATAGACAAAGGTTACGGCAGCAGACACCAGGGTATAGCTCTCTGTTGACGGAGCTGTAACTGAGGCATCATTCCGTCCATGTTTTACCCGAGGTGTCCGTTTTGCTTATCTTTACCACTCTGACATCCCCGATTTCTTCACCCTTAACTAATAACCTTCTTGACTTAACCAGTAGTTGGGCTCCTCTGACGACAAAAATTCTTATTCGTGAAGTTATGCGAGAAAATCAGCTTCGAGGACATACCAAGATGACTGACACAACATCGACGGAGCTTTAAATCAAGGGGTCAAGTTCGAGTAGAGGACATATTTCGATATTGTTTTTTTGTTGCTAATGATAAGTTCAGACAAAAACAAGACGATTTTCATCTACGACACTTATGGCGGAACAAAGACGAGCAAACCTGTTCTTAGTTAGTATAGAAGGCAAGTTTATTTTATTTGGATATTATTTACAATGGCCTACTGAGGTATAACAGCTAATACAGTGATATGATTTTGGTGCAGGAGTGGGCAAGACTTCACTGGTGACCCGCTACGAAACCAAGTCTTTCCACAGGAAAAGCAGCTCTACCATCGGTGCCTCTTTCAGCAACGTGGATATACTTCTAGAAGGAACCAAAGTCAAGATGCAGGTATGAGCTCAGCAACATGTCCAGTGGAAGAGGAAGATGGGAATTACAACTGCCTCCATCCTTAGTTAGCGGATGATTCAGAAATTTCTCAGGGGGTGTCCGATAGGGGGAGGGCAACACTTGTCAACTTGAGGATAAAAGTATGCCATCATCAAAGAGACCGACAAGGTCTTACAGGCCTGACATCCCCTCGCCTCCCCTGACTGAGACGTGATAGTGAGGTCAAAATGAACATTCGTCAATTTATCTCACAACTGATCCTTGATCTGTTGGTATCATACAATAAGCAAAGCTATGGTGTGAAAGAGGTTCTTGAGGAAGAGAGAAGAGATTACATAATTAGGACTTCCTTGGCTTAGTCACGATGGGTCCATTTAAAAAATTTCCCCCTGGACCCCAAAATGATAGGGCTGGCCCTGCTAGGACCTAAAAGCTTTCCTACCACAACTTAACAACTTAGCCCCCTCGATCAAATTCACTGTGGAATTAGAGCAAGACTGTAAATTGCCATTCCTAGACTGTCTGATACACAGAATAGGTAACACTTTTAAGTTCAGTATTTATAGAAAACCAACTAATGTGTGTTCATACATTCATTATTATTCTGCCCACCATAATAAAGTCAAACAGTCAGTATTTTCAACAATGTTTTTACGTGCCTTGAGAATTTGCAGTCCGGAATTCATCGATGAGGAATACAAATATATATATAATATTGGCTCAAACCTTAAATACCCTAGATCTTTCATAGACAAATGCTTAAACATTACTAAGAAAACTTTTTATAGAACTGACCCCAAGCCCACCCATGACCATAAGAATATCTTAATATTACCATTTCACAAAAATTTCTCACACATTCCTGCACAGCTAAAAACCTGGAACGTCAATGTGACATTTAAAAACTCATGCACTGTGAAACAAATGTTAATCAAGAACTCCCCCAACAACACAATTGGTTGCATTTATAAAGTTCCTTGCAAGGAATGTAATATGTTTTACTTAGGCCAGACAGGTAAAGATCTTGCAACTAGAATTAAACAACACAAATACAGTGTTAGGACAGGCCAGGAATCCAATGCTCTGTTTGTTCATTTGAGGGATAACACGCATTGCATTGACTGGGATAATGCCTCCTCAATATTACCATGTAAGTCAATTGACAGTAGGAACATCATAGAATCTAGTCTTATTAAACATACCGAAGCATTCAACATGAATTTGAGTAACGGCATGTACAAGCTGGACAATTTTGTAATTAAGAAGATTTGTGATCAGGTGAGAAGGCCGGGTCACTTGACCATCTGACCTGACCACCAACCGTTGTGTGCTATTTAAAGATTAGTAGGGTCATTACCTAATACCTGACCATTGTGGACCTGGTCTCACCCTCCTCTGTATATATACACCTTGATTTGTATTACTCTCTCTAGTCTGTACTCACCCCTGAAGATGTGAATTACACGAAAGCGCTTGGGAACTTCGTGTTTTCTTCTTTCCTTGTGGTTATCAGCATATACCTAGATCACGCGCACCTACAGTGATTTACTTGCATATATATATATATATATATATATATATATATATATATATATATATATATATATATATATATATATATATATATATATATATATATATATATATATATATATATATATATATATATATATTACTTACCTAATGGTCACCCACTAGAGGTGGCCATGCCAAGTGAAGGAGGCCAGTGGCCTGTGTAGGATCTCTCCATTGGTCTTGATAAATTGTCAAGGGTTATTTTGAAGCCCAGTACTGTACTTGCTTCCACAGCTTAGGCTGTTCCATAGGTCTACTAGCCTCTGTTTGAAAAAGTATTTCCTTATCTTCGTTCTGCATGATAATGGCGAGCTTATAGTATGTCCTCTCGTGTTGGTGGTGTTTGACATCACAAAGAAATGGTCCAGGCTCACATTTTCCATCCCTTTCAACATTTTGAATGTTTCAATGAGATCTGCCCTATTGTGCCTTGTCTGAAGGGTTGTTAGTCCTAAGGCCCTCAGTTTACTTGAATAAACTAGATGAAAGTTCTGGAATCACCTTAGTCGGTCTGTGTTGCACCTTTCTAGGGATGTTAGGTCTTTCAGGATGTTTCACAGAAGTCTGGGAAAATGGTAATAGTTCCTCCTATATGCTACATGGGAGGCTACAGTCCCCCTCCCTGATATACATTGCTGCTTGTATTAATCAGTGTTTGTTGTGTTCTAACATGACAATTTAGACCGAGCAGATTATTCAATAAACAATTCAAATTTACTGACACTATTGCATCTTTACAGGTTTGGGACACAGCAGGTCAGGAGAGGTTCCGTTCCATGGCACCTATGTACTACCGAGGAGCTAATGCTGCTCTCTTGATCTTTGATCTGTCTAACTATGTCACCTTTACTGATATTCAATCCTGGGTTAGTGGTAAGTTGGTAACAGGGGCTTCCTTAAGTACTGAATAAATTACAGGGTAATTTATTTTGTTTTTTAATATTCTATAGCAACTGATTCTTTTTTGCTTGGCAGAGTTAAAAAGTCGTGTGGGAGAGGGGTTGATGCTGGTGCTTGTGGGTAATAAGCAGGATCTGGTTGATGATCGGGTCGTAAAAAATGCCACTGCCCAGGATTATGCCGACTCCATAGGAGCTACATTTCTTGAAACTTCTGCCCTTGATAATACAGGCAAGTTTTATTTTTTTTAAGTATTACGGTATGTGAATATTTTTTATATAAATGTCTGAGTGGATTTTTGTGGCTAACCCATATAAGCCTGAAAAATTACCGTAAAACAGTGATGAAGGCGATGATGTAAAAATGTTGAAATTATTCTTATAAGAAATTTATAGTTACTGTTGTCTAAAAGTAATTGGTTTAATATTTTCTGAAAACTAGCACCATCTCCAAAGAGAGTTAGAAAAGGAATACAGTATTGATACTTTTTCAGTCAAAGATAAAAAGGGAAAATGATACAGTGGTTCCCTAAGCAAGCTTGAGGTTAGGTGAATTGAATTCAACTTTGTGGGAAATACTATAGAGTACTGTATCTTAGACACAAGAAAAGGAAGTTAAAATTCATGTTATTTATAAATACAGTGCTGGTAATGAGCAACATTTCTTCTGAACCATATCACATCCCCAGGTGTTTCTCCCTCAGGTGTTCAGGAGATGTTCAATATAGTGGCCGTTGAAATGTTCAAACGAGCAGACAAGGAAGAAAACTCCAGCCTTAGAGTATATTCACCAGATGTAAGTGGGTTCTTAAAATGTTTTTTCCTTGAACCTTCTCTGTTACTGATGATAGGGTTTTTCTTAGTTAGCTATATGATGAAGGGTTATTCTTCTTAATACAGTAAGTGGAAAAAATGAGTCATTAAATTTTGAGAAACTTGACAGATAAGTCAAGTCATGATTAAGGAAGAATTAATATAAAATGTACTTCAAGAATTAAGGATAGGGCCAGGGGTCTGACACTAACTTGTTAAGGAAAATTAGGATTTAACCCCTTAACTATGGCAAACACTAGACAAATTTATTCAGTACAATATAAATTTTGCTCCTTTTCTTTTTCTTTTTTCTTTTATGCTTTCATTATTATTTAAAGTACAGGTATATCCTTTCATTATTGCTGTTCATATTCCTATAAGTCTAAGTTTTAATGTTACAATGTGCAGTTAAAGCTACTTTTAGGGGTGAATCTAGTGATCTGAAGTCTTCACAGCTGGTTACAGATGTTTTATTGTGCATTTATTGTATTTTAGACCTGGTGCTCCATATTCCAGAAAAACCCTTATGTGACAACCCCCGGTTCCTGGGCATGTCAGATAAATGGTCCCATACCTGTATTGTAGCTTTTGCTTAGTGATTTCAGTGAAGTATTTATGAAAACATAACCGCCAGAGAAATCAGGGGTTTGCTGTACACATAATACATGGGATTTTTAAAGAAATACTGTATCTTCATTCTTCAGCACCATTATGATATGTATATTAGTTACTAATTTTTGTTACTACTTTATTTACAGGGCAAAAATCAAAGGAATGAAAACACATCAAATGTGAAGTTAAGTGAGATACCTGTGCTGGAGGAGAGAAACAAGTGTTGCTGACTTGATGGGCCTGGAAGAACAGCTGAACACAGAACCAAAAATAGTGGATAAGTAAACCTTTCTTTGACAGAAAATAGAATAAATAGTACTTAAAGTAGGTTAAGATAATAACAAAAGAGGCCAGTGGTACTGATATCACTGTCAGGCAGTAAATTTCAGAAATCACATTTCTTTGTGATGTCAAACACCACCAACACGAGAGGACATAACTATAAGCTCGCCAAGTTATCTTGCAGAACGAATATAAGGAAATAATTTTTCACACAGAGGCTGGTAGACCTATGGAACAGCCTAAGCTGTGGAATCAAGAACAATACAGGGCTTCAAAATAACCCTTGACAGGCCACTGGCCTCCTTCCCTTGGCATGGCCATCTCTAGTGGGTGGCCATTAGCTAAACAGGTAAATAGGTTGATGTTATTCTTCCATGCAATTTATATTTGAATGTGTGCAGGTGATACTGTATATGAATACAGTATTGCCTTTCCAAGTATGAAATCTTAATTCACTAATACAAGATGCCTCATATCTCCTTCACAGTACAGTACAGTACACTGACAATATGGCAAAATAGTCAAATATTATGTATGACTTACTGTACTTTATTTTATATTCTTCACTACTGATTGGCTTGTTAGCCACTTGGGCGGTCGGTCACGTCTCTGTTATGCAATGTTGGCAAGTACTGGCTCCTGAATGTATCTGTACCTGCACCAGTGTTGGTCAAGTCTGGTTTTGAATGAGTTTATACTCGGTGCCATCACAATGCTCTCTGGCAGATTGTTCCAAGAGTTAACAATCCTCACTGCATAAAATTTTACTCCAACAGTTTTCTGAATTTGTGGTCTTGTGGTCTCAGAACACATAGCACTGATATGCACTGTAAACATGTGAGAGAGGCCGCCTCAGCTGCACAAGTTGCCAGTTATGGGAAAAAGTGGTCATCTTCCTCGTACTGTGCAGTAAACCTACTGTGTTACTCACTCTTTTTATTTACTTTATCTTTCTAGTAATTACTCAACAATAAATAAACAGATATTTTAACTATTACTATATTTTCATTTTATTTCCTGCTCATTATGCATGACTAGTTTGTTCACTTGAACATAGCACCTGAGACCTAGAGTCAGCTTTTAACAAGGCAACTGATTGGTTGGCAGATGAACACGGCAAAAGTCATTACAGTTCTTTAGTCTTTAATCTGCTGTAGTATTTATATTCTGATATTTTAAGGGATAATAATTATTCTGTGTTGATCTCTGACAATTTCCACACTTGAGGAGCCAAAAATTAGCATGTGAAACGCTCTGGTAACAAATATCTTCAAGAGAACATAATGAACAAGGTCCAAGACGTAAACTCCTCCTCTCTGTAAGACATCACATGGCATCTGAATTTTCTTTTACTACATTATACTCCAAATTTATTTATTTATTTATTTTTTAATTTTATCAACATTATCCACTGATCGGCTCGTTAGCCGCTTTGGTGATCGGTCACGTCTCTGTTACTCACTGTTGGCAAGTACCGGGCATGCACCGACTCCTGAATGTACCTGAACTCGCTCCAGTGTTGGTCAAGTCTTGTCTTGAAAGAGCTCACACTCGGTGCCGTCACAACACTTTTTTTTTTTTATTATTATTATTATTATTATTTATTGGGCACTCCCCTACATCCTTGTGTAAGGTGAAGCGCAGAAGCGTTTACAGCGCCCAACAGGGAAGCATGCTAAGTTCATGCTTGCCTTTATGTCTCATGAGTTAAGGGCGTAGAAGCCTGAAGAGTCAAGGGCGTAGAAGCCTGAAGAGTCAGTGGTTTATGTCATCAAGTTATTGGAAGCTCCAACAACTTTCCCTGAATACAAATTTGCAACTTTCGACTTACAACAGGTACCTACTTTACTGTTTGGTGAACAGGGACTAATGGGGGCTAGGAAGCAAATCCAAACTACTTCCACCGGCCCAGGAATCGAACCCGTGACATCTCGCTTCCAACACTTTCTGGCAGATTGTTCCAAGAGTTCACAACTCTCACCCCGAAAAAGTTTGCCCTCACAGTTTTCTGGCCCTGCGGCTTCCTTCTATCTACAAGTCTAAATGTTGCTTTACTACATTATACTCCATACAGTACTGTGCTTCCTTCTATCTACAAGTTTATATGTTCTTTGTCTACCAACTACAGTGCTTAAATATACAACTAATCTCACTTACATGTATCATGGAGGAAGGTAACAGTACAGTACGTCCTTTAACATTTGTTACACTGGTAATCTCAACACTAGTTCATCCACTAGACCTGTGTGTTTACAAAATGGTACTTAAAATTAGAAGTCCAATTCTATCTTGAATGGAAGTTATCAACTTGAGAAATAGCATCAGAGTTAAACAAGCCTTGCTTTTATCTTTTATTTACAACCATATTTAAAATATACATTTTTTTGTAACAATTTGTCTTATGCAAAACTAATGTGACACTTATAAAACAACATCATGCTACAGTTTCTTAAGCACTATTAAAACATTATTGAAAATACTGTTTCATAAGGCAGTAATACTGAAATAATTCAATATGTATCAAACAGTTTCAATGACTTTTCCTTACATGAGGAAATTCATCTTGTGTAACAAAGTTGTTTTCTAGAGGTGTGATAAGAAAGACAAATGGGATATTTGGCACTAAATGAAGAAAATCAACTGTAAAAAGGCAGTACAGTATCACTGATAACTTCAGGCATAAACAAAACAAAGGTGAAGTTCACACCAAGACATACAATCAACAAGTACATCAACAATATACAGTACTGTATGTAACAGTGAACCTAAATCACTAGGTTATGAGTCAATCTGGTAAAGTTAATAAGAAACTGTAAATGTTTTCTCATACCATAACAGGTTCTTCCTATATTTTATGGTTAACAGTAAGACACCATGCAAAACTGCACAGCCCATCATTAGCATTCTAATTACTGTCTTCTTGAATAAAAGTTATTCACTTTAAAGGTACCGGTATACAAATATTTTCACTGTCTCATTTGCTTTTACTTGTACAGTAAATAATTAAGATAAAATTCTATAAAACACAAATCTATTTGATAGTGTACAGTAGTATTTTGTCATGCGTTTGTTGCTAAATCCTGAGACTTAATATGTCACTTAAAAATAATTACAATTTACCTTCTCTTAGCCTCAGTAAAGATTCTTATGAGAAACTCTCCAGTCATTTCAGGTTCAAAAGTGGATGGGATGATGACATAAGCACCAGGAGGGAAACGGAATCTAGTAGTTAATTCACGAGTATTGAGGAAAAATGGTACTTTTGCCAAGCTAGGATTGTACTTGAAGAACTCTGTGTCCAGCTTTTGTCCAGGCTGCATGTTTGCTGGCAACTGTGTGGAATAAATAACAAATCTGTTAACTTCACTGTTTTCATACACTGTACAGCTCATAAACTGGAACTGGAGGATTACCCCGGTAATTCACTGAAGGAATATTTAAATTTATGAAAATACAGGTTGTCCCATAAAAAGGTAACTATTATTATTTGCTGAATTTGTCAGAGTATATACATCACAGTACTTAATAGTTAAAATTTATATGGAACACTTATAGTCTATAATATTAAAAATTTATTTAGTACTTAATATGTCCACTTTCTCATTCAATAAATGTCTGGAGAACTTGAATAACATAATGTTCCCAAGACCCTCAGACTAGACTCCCAGTGATTTTTTTTTTTTCAATGTGGTTTCTTAAGGACACAGCTTAAGCCACTTACCCACAGTCCTTGGGTGATCAAAGAGATCAAATCACTGATGCTGTCTGAGGAGGACTGATCCTGAAATCTTGTTTTACAACCAAATCTGAATCAAGCTCCTTCCATCCTTCTTCCCTTTGAATACTGAGGTGTACTGTATCTGGGGTGTTGTTCCTTTATAGCCAACATCAGATAACAAATGAATGTATTAGAGCAGCTGTGTTTATGTTCAACGGCAAAGTTCTTAAGCCATCCTTTTTAAAATATCAATACTGTACCTTTTACCCTGTGGTCAGCCTTTGGAAGCCTGGTATGAAGACAATGGCTTACCACATAATTTTATAATTTTTTAGATCTCGGTCACTAGTCAGGGTTCTGGGGCTAGTGTTTTGATTAACCTTATTGGCTATATGAAGTTGCTCCATCCACATTTGGCTATACAGTACAGTACAGTATATGAGACTTCAAGGTCAGTGCTGCATTTTATGCCTCCTTACCATAATCATATTTAACATTTATTCATGCCAACTTGTGTTAAATTCCTGAAAATACCAGAAGATTAATTTCATATAATATATACAATACTGTACCGCATATATGGTGAAGCCAATTGGGACATAGTCAACTCCATAGCGTTTGAGTTGTCTGACATTCTTCTGCATAAGAGAGACAACTATGGTGCATTGACCTCTGTCATCATCATCATCGTCATCATCATCATCATCATCATCATCATCATCATCAGGATCCTCCAGCTGCACTGTAAACTGTGGGTTGCTTGCAAATGTGTCTGAAATATTAAAGATTAGACAGTGACAGGCAGTACAAATTCATTTAATATGGTATCCATAACTAATCCAAAAATGGTGTGTACAGTTTCCTCCAAGAATTAAAATACTACTGTACTGTACTTGCACAACTCTCTTTCCTGTACTCTACTATAGTAACAACCTTGGCTATATGGCAGCAAAGGCTTGATATGATTCAACATTCTGGAAATAATCAAATTAATATAGATAAAGAGATAAAACACTATGTCAAACTAAAAGTTGCTCTAATTGTAACTACATAGCAATAGTCATCTGATAAACACAGAATATCTTAAATTTGTCAGTCACATAAAGAGATATTGAATAAATTGATAAATAACTTACTAATAAAGTTTCTGCAACCACCAGCACTATGGTGTGCAGCCCAGGCCCCCTCGTACATCACCATCTGCCACCTCTTTGGTGCCGACTCCTCCATCTTTGTGTTACCATTTTCATCATCACTATCATCATGATCAAACACTTCTGGGGTGACATCACAGATTTCAACTGTGGTGAAATTTGATGCAAAGTCCTGATTGTGAGGATCATAAATTATTATTCAAGCATACATGACAAGCATGGGCACAGTACAGTATAAAAATACACCAGTATAGTATAGCCACAAGCATAACATTAGTACAGTACATGAGATTATGGTCTTAACATGTGAGGAATACTAACAAAGATAATTTTCTAATCAATACACTACCTGGAAACTCATCCAAAACTCCCCATCATCTTCAAAGTTGAGTTTAAGACGTTGCTTCTCCTCAGGAGTGATAGAATTCCACTCTGGAGACTTGTCACTCCACGAACCTTTCCATTCAGCTTCATTGCCCCAAGGATTATGCAGACGGATTAGTTGAGCCTTGCCCTACAACAGCGTTCAGAGATAAAAACGTTATCTACAACTCTGACACCCATAATAATAATTACAGTACATGTACTAGTTATAAGAAAGTCTCACTATATACTGTATTATACTGTACTGTATAACAATACAACATTTGGATATTTGGGCCGATATTCTGGAACGGGGTGGTAATATCGACAATATATACCTAGATTTTGCCAAGGCTTTCGACAGTGTACCCCACGAAAGGCTGAAAATTATACTAGAAGGGTACGGAATTTGGGGAAATGTCCCAGCGTTGATAGAAGACTTTCTACATGACCGCAAGCAGTGTGTGATGATTAATGGCACGAAATCATCATCTGTACCTGTCACAAGCAGGGTACCAAAGGGCAGTGTATTGGGCCCACTGTTGTTTGTTTGTTTCATAAATGACATGCCTGACGTTGTACACTCCTCCATATAAATGTTTGCCGATGACGCCAAGTTATTTTGGTAAATGAAGAACCAAGCGGACTGTGAAGAGCTGCAGAAGGATTTCTGTGGGCTCCAAGAATGGTCAAAGAAGTGGCTGGTGAGACTCAATGTCACTTGTTGTGTATGTTGACAATGAGCTCAAGTTCTTGAGCCATTGCGAGAAGAAGGTAAATCAGGCAAATAAATTATTGGGTCTTATAAGAAGGTCGTTCAGATATCTAGACGGTCTGTCCCTCGTAACGATCTTCAAGAGTGAAGTGCTTCCCCATCTGGAGTACTGTCACCCCGTCTGGTCCCCGAGATATGCTAGGGACTGTCAGTTGGTTGAAAATGTTTAAAGGAGGGCCACCAGACTGGTGCCTGCACTTCGGCACCTCAACTACCCTGAGAGATTGGAGCGCCTGAACTTGCCTAGCTTATACTACAGACGGGCAAGGGGCAACCTAATTGAGGTGTATAAGCATCTCAAAGGGCACTACTCAGTTGAGTGTCCTTACTTGGAGCTGGCGGACGCTCGCCCCACAAGGGGTCACATTTCAAGATTGAAGAAGCCACAAGTCCAGAAAAGTGTGTGGGGAAATTTTTTCGGAGTGAGAGTTGTGAACTCTTGGAACAATCTACCAGAGTGTTGTGACGGCACCGAGTGATGAGCTCTTTCAAGACCAGACTTGACCAACATTGGAGCTGGTGCATGCCCAGTACCTGCCAACAGTGCGTGACAGAGACGTGACTGATCGCCCAAGCAGCTAACGAGCAGATCAGTGGTGAAGAGGATAAAAGTAAGTAAAAGTAATAAAAATTCACCTCCCAGCACTGGTAAATTTATGGTGAATCTGATCCTTCTTAGGTAATGTTTCACTAATACTGGAAAGGTAATGTATTATCACTTGATTTCATAAATTCACAACAATGCTGGAAGTTATCTTTACAAATGCTGTATGTATTTAAACAGAATAATTTCTATCATTTCTAAGTTTAATAAATTTTTCAAAACCTTTTTAGTCCAATAAAATTATCATTGTAGTACAGTACAGGTATTCTAACAAAAATAAATAAGTGACCTGGGCTGAGAATTAGTAAATAGTTGATTGTTGTTTCTGTCATGTATTTCATCTGTGACTTTAGTGGAACAAGAAGACCTTACCACTGGACAACAAAGGTTCGTAACAAAGAGCAGACCGACTGCCCAAACAGATATTAAACTGATAAGTGGCAGAGAAATGATATGATAGATTATATTAAAATGTCATCTTTCCATTGTTTTTCCTTGACTAACATTGTTCTTCTGTGACCAACACCACCAGTACGTGCTCTCCTGTTGTATTTTTGTTGTTGTTGTTGTCTACTCTTCTACTAGAGTAACATGCTTGGCAAGGCTGAGATTGTTTGGACATGTGGAGAGAATGTATGAGACCAACTGGGTCAAGAGATGCACGAGTCTAAATGTGGAGGGGAGGAGAGCCAGGGGTAGGTCAAGAATTACATGGGGAGAGGTTGTTAAGAAATTATATTACAGTTAGGAAGCTGACAAGAGAGACTGCAAGAGACTGTGCAGCACGGAGAGCTGCCATCAGGTAATAGTGGTTAACTCACGCAAGTGTGGAAAATGGCTGTAAAACATTCATGACGATGATTAGAATTATGAGTATAGCAATTGTTTGGCAGTTTCTGTTGTTTCTACAGATATAACATGTCCAGTCAAAGATGTGTAGTAAATGCATGTCATGACATGATTCTGGTACAGTACAAGAGAGAAACCATTTGTCATCACACTCCAAAATATCTTGCTGTCCTCTATCATAATTTAAAATACAGTTAACATTTATATATGCATGATAAAGATAGGTTAATGAAAATTAGTCGCCTTAAAAATATTAGAAATACGTGTACAGTATTACCATAACTGCAATTCAACCTTTTTAATCTTTCTTTTTTTGAATTAGAAATACTGTCTCAAGGTGCATTTTGAGATATCAAAATATATATGAGAGCCCAACAAACCTCTTAATTGACAATAAAGCATGAAACACTGAAGCTTCTAAAGAAGAGTTCTTATAATTAATGTATTTTATACATTATTAACCCCAATGGTAAAAATTTAGTCAAATTAAAAAGGGTTAATACTTGTGATTATTGTTAAAGACAGAAAACTGACATAATACCTCCACACTGACCTCAGGGAAAGCCAAGCCTAAATTCCAGTTGGTTAGGGAGGCTAGGGTCTGGTAAAGGGGAGACATGCCCACAGGGCTCGAGCTCTCCTCAACAGAAGATGCACCAAAGAGGGTTTTATTAATGATGGTCAGGGCACTCTGCAGGTGAGATGTGGTTGAGTCTATGATACTTTTCTTCTCATTAGACACATCCACAGAGCATGAGATCACATCCACAGCAGAAGGCACACCAATAAAATGGTTATTCATGGTTGCCAGGGCACCCTGGAGGTGAGGATGGTTTGAGGGTGTGACATTTGTCTTTTCCTGTAAATTAAATTTTTCGTTTGAGGAATGGATGTGAAAGGTTAAGCTATCTTGAAGGAGTAAAGGAGTACCAAATTGCCTTAATGAATCTACAGTATTTCCTTGCCAGATGTTGGACAAAATCACTCTCACAAAAGTACATGGTCATATGCAAGGGGATGAAATTCTGCAGTGACAGACTGTTGCCATTCATGGATTTAGCAAAATTTCTCAAACTAGGTACAGAACTTTACTTTCTTATAAAGAAACACAACATGTCAGAAAAGTGTATCCATAAATAGCACCAGTTTTTCATGCAAGGGTTGGAAAGCTAATGTAGTTATTATTGTACAATATACAGTACAGTTTAATATTTAATAAAACACAATAAAAATTCATCAAATTATTAAGCTGTGCAAATCTAATTATTAAAACAAGCCAATTACTGTAATGAGAAGACAATCACAAAACACAGATGACTCCTTTCAAAAGGCCCCATGTGCATTAAAAACAATACAGATATCTTTAACATCTTATTGTCTTTAACAAACCGGATATAAGATTTTGATATTAATTCAGCAACTTTTGGTATAGTATTAAGAATACATTGTACTAAAATAAGACAACTAACACAATACAGCATTAATGAAGCTAAAAATCTTTCTGAGTATAAAATCTGCTGTCATATTAACAGCGTAATTCATTCACAGAATTTATTAATCTGTTTTTAGGGAATGCTGGCTTGTTAAGACAAACATCTAAAAGCAATGTGTGTGTGCACTCCACGTGAAATACAATGAATTTCTTATACTCATTTTGTTTCCACATTGTAAACAGTGAAGCAAATATAGTAACAGGAGCTTTCCTTGAGTAGTACGCCTCATATTGTATAGGTGGGGTTAAGTGTATGGGAAGGAAAGACTCACCTGCAATCTGGAGACAACAGACTTAATATCTACTGTAGTAACGCGGGTGATGGAGTAAGCATGACGCATTATAAGGCCATTACTGAGGATGCTCTCTGCCTGTATGTTTGACTGGTCGGGCTGAGGAATACAAAACGAGTTAGGTATTTTAATTCTCTTATAAATTCATCTTATCGTATTCTAAATACATTTACAACAAAACTGACTGGTGTAAAACCTTCAAGAAATCAGTGGCTACAGCTGTCACTGCCTTGTCTTTCACCTGAAGCTGAAGTAAATAGATGAACACACAATAATTTGTTTTGCAGAGTAGCTATTATAACCAGAGGCTGGTTACAGAATTTGAAAAAATACGATTTCCAACTTACTGTACGTTAAGTCTCTGAATTCCTCCATACTATTTGGAGATGTAGCAGGAAATTTAATTAAAATAGTTTCAACTGTGCATATATATATACACACACAACTAGTTTACTGGTTTACTGTACCTCTATAGCAGTGCCTATGAGAGCACCTCTACGGTAAGCCTTCCACAAGGTGGAAAATAATTTGGGTGGTGGATTACGAAGATCAATCATCTCCACCACACCTCCTGTCAGGTCAACCATACTCTCATTAATGTTGCCGCCACGCAGTGATTCATATCCTCCATATAACCTGTATGTTATGAAAAAATATATATATCTTCAAGACAGCTCTACAGTAAAACATGGAGTAACTGTAACTGAATACTTCACATTAAAATTCCAGTATAGTACAGTACAGTGTTTGTTATATTGAACAGTATTCATATGTCTCAATGTACAGTACAGTGCAATACAGTGTAATACAACTGCAGTTGATGTAGTTGCCTTTACTTATTGGTAAGTAAACTGATCATACAAGAGTCCAGCTAAATTCCTAAAATTTTCAGTACAGAATATTCCTCCCATTAAAATTAATGTTAAGCAGGCAAAATGGTACTGTACTCACTTAGCATATGCCTTCTCAAAAAGAGCACACCAAAATTCATTTTCAGTCTTTGAGTGCATGAATACAAGCCTTCCATTGTATGTGGGCAGCCTGTCATCCACCACCACCTCTTGCCACTTCCCATACTGCCAGAATCTGTAAGAAACAACACTGAATTTGTCAAAGTAAAGTACAGTACAAACTTAATGGTGGTAATTTGAGTGAAAGCGTGTCACATTGACATAATTTTTAGTCGGCTTTTGGGGTAGAGAGAGCTGTTACTCCAGTTGGAAGCCAGAACTATCAAACAGGGAGGTACTACTGCCTAGGAAGATACTGGAAGCATAATGTGTTCTCTAATGGTAGACCCTGCTGCCATATGGCATCACGAAAATTGTGACCAAGTCCCAGGTTGCTGATCTGACTTTCTGCCTCATTTACACACAATTGCAGAGAGTCAATTGTTTCTCTTACTTTGACAACACAACATATAATGTATGTACAGTAAATCATTCCTCACTCTTGATTAGTTTTATTTTCCATTTCTGTATTTATTTATGGCTCATTATGTTTTCGCCCCTCCAGGCCCCGATGTGGGTCGGTGACTTGTGCCCGAGTGGGCTAATCACCATAAAAACAAAATAAGTTGAAGTGTATTGAACTAAGAATAACTCAGTTTGTTTTTATTACGCTAAACACAAAGTTCATATCAACAAAAGCTATGACTCATCACTGGATGATCCTTAAGAGGACTTTATTAAAGATTCATAACCTCTTCTGCAAGTTTCTGACAGTTCTGTAGAGACAAGTTGATAAAGCAGGATTGAGGTTGAGGGGAGGTAAGCCTCCATTTCCAAATTTGATTTAATTTAATTTAATGCAAAATTAACAAAGATTAATAACTACAATAAGCATTAAGTGTTGTACAGTGGCAGCATCTAATGTGACCTTATCTAAGACCAGACTTGACTAATACTGGCACATGTTCAAGCAAATTCAGGAGCCAGTGTGTGCCCAGTACAATATTAGCCAACAGTGTGAAACAGAGAATTTCCCGAATGGTTAGTAAGCTGGCCAGGGGTGAAGAGGATAAGTAAATAAGTGATGGGTGTTCCTATGCCTGAATTCAATGTTTATAAAACTTATGCCTATTTTATACTATATTTGGAAGATAGACTTTTGTCATTAATATAAAAGAGCAATTTACTTAACAGTAGTACAGTACTGTACAGTTTATCTTTAACCATACAAATTTAATGACTTGGACTTACTTGAAATGAAAGATGCCTGCATAAAGATCAATGAATCCTTGGTCTCTTGGTACCACCGCATGGAACATTTGAGGATTCAAGGTCAGATTAGATACTGCAGCCAAGAGCCAACAGTCACCTGAAAAAGTAATGGAAATTTATGTCTTATTCTTACACATACAGGTTGTACTTACATTTCCTGATTTAAATATTTATAATAAATTAGTACAGCAGTTAGGTAAACCTTTCAGTTACTGACTAATTCCATATGTTGTGAGGCATCACTTGAAATATCCCACCCTTTGTAGTAATAAAATATAAGGAAAGAAGAACTAACATCAGTCAACATTCACATGGAAAAGACACACACACAAAATGAAAGATACAAGGAAAAAAGGAGAACTGGAAGAGAAATTACCTATACAGGGTACCAATACGATACATGTACAGGTATTATCTAAAGTACTGTACTGTATATACTGTATTTGTCTCATTTTTGTATGGGAAGGATCAAGAGTTATACAGAAACCTTAAGGTGATGAGGTAAATAATAGAGCAGTGTCAGACAAGTGCATCACTAGCAGTAATACTGACGGTGAAATGCGAATATCAACACTCACCAAGTTCTCCCTGTTGAATGTCAAACCGTGTTGCACCGTCAATGAAGAAACGTGGATTCTTTGTAATCTCCTGGGAATAAAAATACCAGTGGTTGAAGATAGAACCAAAAGAGAAAGATGGATGCACAATGTTAAGCATTGGTATCAAGATATCAGTAAATGTAAATCAAACATTACAAATTATCCCGAGCCATCCGAGTAATAACAGGAATACAAAAGTTTTCCAGTGTCAGGAGATAAAGATGTCAGCCATTTTGTATTTATTGATATTAAGCAAGACCGTACATTACCGAGAAATTTTTATTAAATTGGAACAAATATACTGAAAATATGGATTAAAAATCCTTACGTGAGGTCTCTTCCAAACATAGGTTCTGCGGGTGACGCCATTGAAGTTGATAGAGTAGTCATTGGCTGGGAACTCAGGGTCCTCGTATAACTTACTGCTCTTAAGACACTCATCTCGCAGAGTCCTGAACCCCTTCTTGGGGATCTTCAACCCACCTTTGGCTATCCGCTTCTGGGTGTACTATGGAAGGAACACCTCTGTTTATACATCAATTAAATCATAAAATCCAAACTTAAACACTAAATTCATATAACAATTCATAACAACCCTTCAGACAAGACACAATAGGGCAGATCTCATTGAAACTTTCCAAATCTAGATAAGGATGGCACGAGGGCACATGACTACAAGCTCGACATCTTATGCAGGACGAACATAAGGAAATCATTTTTCATACAGAGGCTGGTAGACCTGTGGAACGGTCTACCAGCCTAAGCTGTGGAAGCCAGTACTGTACTGGGCTTCAAAATAACCCTTGACAAATTATCAAGACCAATGGAGGTATCCTACACAGATCACTGGCCGCCTTACCTCGGCATGGCCACCTCTAGTTGGTGGGAGGAAGACAGGATGACACGGGAGGGAGGAAGGACGAGACAACAGGTTATATTGTGAGGGGAGGGAGTGGTACTGTATCCCTCTCACACCTCAAAATATATTACGTCGCTGTAATTAACCATTGCGGCAAAATTTACAAAATCTTCAACATACTTTCCTTGGAAGTTAAAACTGTCGCGATTAATTTGTTTATGTTGTTGTTGTTGTTTGTATATTCACTTTCTTTTCCCCCAGCACGTCACAGTCAAGAAGTTAGAGGGGTGACTGTTGTTGTGTTAGAGGGATAACTGCTGTTGTGTTAGAGGGATAACTGCTGTTGAATTAGAGGGGTGACTTGTTGAATTAAAGGGGTGACTGGTGTAATCTAAAGAGTAAAATGTATGGTAAGTTCATTTTACACGTACAGGCAGCACCAAAGACAGATCCTGGTAACATACAATACATGTTTGTCCATAATTATGATACAAAGACCCGAGTAAAGACAAATTATCTCTAAATTCACTAAGAGTTATGATATAATTCAGTGTAATATTGAAGCGGTGAAGAGGATAACAGTAATACAATTATAATGTTAGTAAACATGAACTGCAGTACCTGAGTCAGTATGTTTTGTTAAGCCTACCACCTAAATCAGCCTCAGTTCTGATGCAGACCATAAGACTGCTATACCAACACACAAGCCATAATGAAGTACCCGGGGCTGACAGGGTTGGCACAGGGACGTTCATATTGATACAGATAATGTCATGACTGAGTTAACGAGGTCACACAAGCAGGACGCACCCGGCCAACCTCCCAGAGGCTGCTACCATGAAGTGTGTAATATTTTATTTTATTTATTTTTTATCAGTCAAACCCCCTTTAGGAGTAAATTTGGGACGTCGATACAGTAATTACCCCCAAAGACAGGGTGGGAGGGTGAGTGGCCAAGGTTGGAGCCCCCCAAATGAAATCCCCGTTACTGTCTATGTAATTGACATCAAATACCACCAGTCACAAAAACATATAAATTTCATAATAATGTACAATATTATCTTTTCACATTTATCCTCTTCGCCGTCTAACGCTTGGGCGGTCTGTCACGTCTGTTACACACTGTTGGCAAATACTGGGCATGTTACTGGCTCCAGAACGTATCTGTACCTGCACCAGTGTTGGTCAAGTCTGGTCTTCAATGAGTTCTCACTCTGTAGCGTCACCTTTTTTTTTTATCCTCTTCGCCACTGATCGGCTTGTTAGCCGCTTGGGCGATCGGTCACGTCTCTGATTACTTTTCCTTTTCATTTATCTTCTTCACCAAAAGATCGGCTCGCTAGCCGCCCGGGCGATCGGTCACGTCTCTGTCACGCACTGTTGACAAGTACTGGGCATGCACCAGCTCCTGAATGTACCTGAACCCGCTCCAGTGTTGGTCAAGTCTGGTCTTGAAAGAGCTCACACTCGGTGCCGTCACAACACTCTCTGGTAGATTGTTCCAAGAGTTTACAACCCTCACTCCAAAAAAGTTTGCCCTCACAGTTTTCTGGACTTGCGGCTTCTTCAATCTTGAGCTGTGACCCCTTGTGGGGCGAGCGTCCGCCACACTGGTAGATTATTTATACAAAATTAAGATAATGATTCTTTCGATATGTTGTAGTTTTTTAGCTGAAGCTGCTTCTCCTTCAACTATTGTTTGTTATAATTTCTGTGTTAACCGATTAACATCCTCAGTTACGAGAGAATTCACCGTAAGAAACTTACTCTTTCCTTCAAGCAGCTAAGGCGCCCATACACTATCAAATATGTTTGTCAATGATGTCTGATCATGCATCATACATCGCCACACACTTTACAACTAGAATGATCAAACTTCAGTTGGTGTCGGGTACGTGTCGCCTCACCACTGGGTGACAGCATGAGTAAGGAGGCAGCCTGTATTACTATTATATTGCTTTTGAAACAGAGACTTCAAAGAAAAAACGAAAAAGAAATTATGGATGAAGGAATGGCAGAGAAAAAGACCCAAGTTCTCTCACAACGCCCTATTAGTGGTATCATCTCAAGATTATAAGAACTTTTTGAGAATGGATAATGAAACTTTCGTTGAACTGTTGGAGAAAGTGACATACATAAAAAAGAGGACACTATCTGAGAGATACCATACAAAGACTCATAGTACACTGCCTTGGTCGCAGTAGGGATAATTTCTTTCACATTTTTCACTAACTTCCCATAATATTCTTGTATAAGAGATATATTCTTGTAATCTTCACTTTTTATTTGTCACCATGATGGAAACTGCTTATAAAGTTCAATAAACTCTCTCCAAAACTCGTGAGAGTTCCGTGCGCTCGCCATAGCTACTGCTACTCGACTCAGCATGATTGATCATACATTACCACACACTATCCAACATGTTTGACAAACGTCGTGCTGGACGAGAAAATATCAAACTTGTTTAATCTTCTTCAAACATATTCAAACTTGCCCAGACACTCTCAAATTGTATGATGAAACACCATGTTTGACAAACATATTTGATAGTGTGTGGGCGCCTTAACTAAGTTACAGTATACTCCAAGCGACATAAGCTTTTGTATACATTTGACATTATCTCAATATTCGACAACTTGTGATAAACATCATAAAAAAACAAGAGACCACTATTTGTTTTCGTCACACTGGTAAAAGTGTCCGGAGAATTTCCCGTTTTCGGTAAAACACGAAAGAGATCGAATTGGTTTGATAAAGTTGCAGCAGTTGCTTTTGCAGCCTGCATTTATCGCCATTCTATAATCTCTACATAAATATATCCTTATCGTGCACCATTTTATAATACCCGTTTCTAATGTAAGTGTTTAACAAACACCCACTTGTCACATCAACTTATTAACGAACGCGTTTGTTCGTTTTGAAGGATTATCGGTGTATGAAAACGTGAAAATACACCTGCGTTCGTTTTGAAATAAGCACGGTATTCAGCTGGTGAGCCCGGAACAGCAAGGCATACTCGTGGGTGATGATTTCACAGATTCGATTTTCCAAGATTTCAGGAAAATTGGAACCGGGATGACAGGGCTGCATAAAAGCGGTTGTTCGCCCTCGCTAGACTTCCCCAGAAATTGTGGCTGACCTCTACCTCCCTGAGCGAAGACTTTAGAAGTGGCGCGGCACTTCCCATATTAGTGCACCGCTTTTTACTTTTGTTACGCTTGAATTCTCATTCCTAAACGCATTGAATACTCCGCGTCTATAACTCAAGGCAAATCTATGTTAAAAAGAAAGTGTCTTGCGGATAAATGTTTGGCTACATTCATATAAGACAACGACAGGTGGTTACAGCATAGCAGACGGTGGCCGCGGTAAGTCATGAACGTACCATAGAGGAACCAGACGGGAACTCACCGGAAGTTACCGGACGATTTTCCCACGACGATAAGTGGTGTACAGGTAATACTCTCACGTCGGTCGTTACTATTGTTTGAGGCTCCAGTCACCAGTTACGACGAACCAGCGCATTTTCTCTTATTTCTGACTCCCTCGTCTACGTGCCACAGTGATTGACAGAAGCAGTTGGCGGTTTTGTTTGTATTTTGACTTCTTTCTTCTTTCTTTTGTTTATTATTAATTATCTCGTTACTCGTCTCTTTAGAGTTCAATCTTCTCTTTAATATGACTTCGATGCTTTTATTATTTTATTTTAACTTTCCCTTCTAATCTTCATTTTACATTATCTTATTTCACGCAACAACACTGGTGTAATACACCATTGTGATATCACACCAGTGGTGGTGTTTTGTTCTAGTGGTATGGTGTGGTGCCAGTGGTGGTGTTTTGTTCTAGTGGTATGGTGTGGTGCCAGTGGTAGTGTTTTGTTCTAGTGGTATGGTGTGGTGCCAGTGGTGGTGTTTTGTTCTAGTGGTATGGTGTGGTGCCAGTGGTGGTGTTTTGTTCTAGTGGTATGGTGTGGTGCCAGTGGTGGTGTTTTGTTCTAGTGGTATGGTGTGGTGCCAGTGGTGTGTTTTGTTCTAGTGGTATGGTGTGGTGCCAGTGGTGGTGTTTTGTTCTAGTGGTATGGTGTGGTACCCAGTGGTGGTGTTTTGTTCTAGTGGTATGGTGTGGTGCTGAAGCAGGTGTTTGTTCTAGGTATGGTGTGGTGCCAGTGGTGGTGTTTCGTTCTTAGTGGTGCGGGTGTGGTGCCGCGGTGGTGTTTTTGTTTCTAGTGGTATGGTGTGGTGCTGGTGGTAGTGTTTTGTTCTAGTGGTATGGTGTGGTGCCAGTGGTGGTGTTTTGTTCTAGTAGTATGGTGTGGTGCCAGTGGTAGTGTTTTGTTCTAGTGGTATGGTGTGGTACCAGTGGTGGTGTTTTGTTCTAGTAGTATAGTGTGGTGCCAGTGGTAGTGTTTTGTCTTCAGTAGTATGGTGTGGTGCCAGTAGGTGTTTTGTTCTAGTGGTATGGTGTGGTGCCAGTGGTGTGTTTTGGTTCTAGTGCGGTGGTGTGGTGCCAGTGGTGGTGTTTTGTTCTAGTAGTATGGTGTGGTGCCAGTGGTGGTGTTTTGTTCTAGTGGTATGGTGTGGTACCAGTGGTGGTGTTTTGTTCTAGTAGTATGGTGTGGTACCAGTGGTGGTGTTTTGTTCTAGTGGTATGGTGTGGTACCAGTGGTGGTGTTTTGTTCTAGTGGTATGGTGTGGTGCCAGTGGTGGTGTTTTGTTCTAGTGGTATGGTGTGGTGCCAGTGGTGTTGTTTTGTTCTAGTGGTATGGTGTGGTGCCAGTGGTGGTGTTTTGTTCTAGTAGTATAGTGTGGTACCCAGTGGTGTTTTGTTCTAGTGGTATGGTGTGGTGCCAGTGGTGGTGTTTTGTTCTGAGTGGTATGGTGTGGTGCCAGTGGTGGTGTTTTGTTCTAGTGGTATGGTGTGGTGCAGTGGTAGTGTTTTGTTCTAGTAGTGGTATGGTGTGGTGCCAGTGGTGGTGTTTGTTCTAGTGGTATGGTGTGGTGCCAGTGGTGATGTTTTGTTCTAGTGGTATGGTGTGGTGCCAGTGGTAGTCATTTTGTTCTAGTAGTATAGTGTGGTGCCAGTGGTGGTGTTTTGTTCTAGTGGTATAGGGTGTGGTGCCAGTGGTGGTGTTTTGTTCTAGTAGTATGGTGTGGTGCCAGTGGTGGTGTTTTGTTCTAGTGGTATGGTGTGGTGCCAGTGGTGGTGTTTTGTTCTAGTGGTATGGTGTGGTGCCAGTGGTGGTGTTTTGTTCTAGTGGTATGGTGTGGTGCCAGTGGTGTTGTGTGGCACGAGTGGTGGTGACTGAGCTTGGCACCACAGTTGTACTCACTCTGGACCGCACATGATTCTGGCACAGTGAGGCAGCACCTGTGTTACTCAGCCAGCGTCCCTTACTTCTATCGTCTGTGCTGAACACACGGTGACACTTTTTAAGTCAGAGCTCAGCTACCTTAAGCATGGCACTAGTTACTATATTTGTTTAATGCATACAGTGAGGAGGAAGGTGGCGTGGACAGAACAGAACTGTACCGCACTGCACTGTACTTTACTGTACTGTACTGTACTGAACTATTCTGTACTTTACTGTACTGTACTGTACAGCTGGACCGTACTTCAATAAAGCAGCTGATTTACACTTACTAAAAGAAGACTGGAGATAAACCAGGGGTAGTGGGTGAGCTTTGTCGACATATATATAAAAAAACACTTATTAATAAACTACAAAGCCTAGTTGTAACTATGGACACTTAGTGAACCCACAACGTCTACTGCTAAAGCCTCGGTAAGCTTCTCCAGCCAACAACACCACGAGATACTCAAGGCTGTGTCGTATTAACAGATACAAACTTGAAATATTCTTAACGCTAAACCACGTCCTGGGGTTGACCTTGAGGCTCATGGAGACGTTACCATCTTAGATAATGTACAATACAACACATACAGTGCTCTGTGTCACCCCAACCAGGCCTCATGAAGCCTCAGCCCAAATATGCGGCGAGTTGTGTAGCAGTTGGCAACCCGGGACACTATTGTTACCCGAACTGCCTTGGTTTAGTGGCGGCCCAACTGTCCTTACCTCAGTAACACATACTAACCTAACCTAACCTAACCTAACCTTACCTTACCTTAGTAACACATGGCAGTACAAGTCACAATGTTCATACTAACCTAACCTGACCTGACCTTACCTCAGTAACACATGGCAGTGCAAGTTACAATGGTCATACTAACCTAACCTAACTTAACCTAACCTGAACCTTCCCGAGTTAAACACGTACATCCCAGCTGGTGAGGATGGTCAGGAGGCTTGAGTCGGAAATGTTTTATCTCCACCTCACTGTCTGCTCAAACACCATAAAAATACTGTGTATATTCAGGGCCTTATCCAGAGGTGTGATTAGGGCGATTTTCTCACCTACTGCAAAAGTAAACGAGTCAACCAAGGGCAAAACTAGGCACTTTCTCGTGGTGCCATGTAAACACACACACATACACACACACACACACACACTCTATAACAGTATATGTTCACCTCATTACTAATATCGTGAGAGCAGAAACAATGCTATTATAAAATTGTTCTCTGAATTACCTAAATAACATTGCGTAATACATTTATCTATAGCGGTGTTGGACAAGTGGACAGTTATCAAACCTGGATGATTAGCAGCTCCAACTTCCGTAATGCGCCTTTATATCGTGTTTTGTTTACTCCAATTACCCGCTAACTTCTTCGTTTTCAGATGAGCACAAAAATGAGTGTACAGATATGCAGACTTGTTCTAGGCATCCCGGAGACCCACAGTAACTTGGGATTAGCTGAAGTCATAACATAGACGAAAATAAGAATCCGTGCTTGGGTTTGACGACAAAGTCAACAAACAGCGATGGTGGTGTCCTTTGGCGTGGGATCACCTGAGTGGGGAGATGTCTGGGCGGGTGGGTCCTTCCCTCCCCTCCTCCAATACGTGTAGTGCATGAGGTTGTTCTACGCGCCGCACTTTAATGCGCTATACAGTGAAGATTAATGTTAAACGCGTGTTTTGTGTTTAAAACAACAGAGAATATCTTATTGTGATTTGATAACTTGTCCAGGTGTGGAGATGTTATTACAGACTTGGGGAGAGGGTGAGATGGCCGTGTCTGGCATACCTGCCCTTGACATTCCTCTGGCATGGTACATCTTCGCCGCCTCCGTCACCACACCCGATCACCAAGCACTGGGCTAACTACATACAGTACTATGATTTATTTAAGGCAATATTTAAAGTTTCCGAGACAAAGAGCATTTTTACCTGCGAGGTATATCACTTAAAACCTGACACAAAGCAGACCTACATAATGTTTGGGTGAACTTCGTAAAGCAACTCAAGTTTTAATATTACAGTGGCCTCCTCGGACCCCCTTTTGGCCATATCCTGGTAAACGCTGCCCACTAACGACCCTCTCACACTGTACAGCACAGTATAAAGAATAATTATTGTAACGACAGAAACCGGGTCCCATAATATCTCAAGACCAGCAATTACGGTGTCGTAAGATTGGAGCAACTTAAGGTTGTAGGTAGTAGGCAGCTACCAAACAGCGAAGATATTGGAAGCATAATGTATTGTCGAATGGTAGACCCTGCTGCCATATGGCATCACAAAAATTGTGACCAAGTCCCAGGTTGCTGATCTGACTTTCTGCCTCATTTACACACAATTGTAGGGTCTCAATTGTTTCTCTTACTATTGACAACACAACATACAAATATTGTTTCTCACTATTAATACTTTTCTTTTTTTTATTGCTTTATGGTTCTTTATTATTATTATTATTATTATTAGTGTTGTTATTATTATTTTATTTTATTTATTTTATTTTTGTTTTTATTTACTATCAACTAATTATTATTGTTATTATTATTACATTTTCGCCCCCCAGGCCCCGATATGGGTCAGTGACCTGTGCCCGGGTGGGCTAATCCCCGTAAAAAAAAAATTCTTCCCTTCACCCAATTTCGTTTTACCTTTTATATGTATCGTGAGTGACTGTTTCCCCAGCCTGATCTGATAGGCCGAGTATGATCACTTACTCAAGAGCTTTTTACCGCTGTTATGACAATATATTCCCCAAAATCATTCCTATCAAACTCAAACTATCCAACCAGGAACGAACTCGTAACAATGGTTTTAAATTACACAAATTTAGATTTAGACGCGAGATAGGTAAACATTGGTTTGGAAATAGAGTAGTGGACGAGTGGAACAAGTTACAAAACATCATCATTAACTCGAATACGCTGGATAGCTTCAAACATAGGTTGGATCGATATATGAGTGATGGTTGGGTGTAAATGGGACTGCCCGGTTTGGGTCAATTGACCCGTTGCAGTCTCCTCCATTCTTATGTTCATATGTTAAATATTATCAGATTTATAACTTATGAAAATTACAGGTAGACCAATATCATGGCTCTATACAAGTCGTCGGTTACATTATGGGAGGGCAACAATGTCATGTTCTTCTAGCTTACTGACTGATTGGGTGTTAGTGACCGGAGTGGTGAAGGAGTAATACTTACATCATTACTGACGCGGCTGTAGTAGGTAGACTTCTGAAGGGAGACGGACTCTATGCCGTCCACCATGTGGCCGTGGCCCTCCCGTTTGTAGCAGCGGCAGTGACTGTCATGGTCCTCCGTTGGCTTCCACACACTCTGATCCTCCACCACCTCACTAAGCGACATCCTGTTGTTGCTCCTCACTTAACCACACACTCGCCTCAATAAATTTTGGTGGTACTTTAGTAACAAATCTTCACTATATGTTCAGCTCGAGGTGGTGTTGAGATCTTCAAGATGGAAGTGTGACTGGAAAGAAAAGACACGTTATATTATTACGAAAGTGACTGCGTGATGTAGAGATATATTCCACGACACAGACAAACATACCCAGGTAAACATACTGTACTCACTGCTCATGTTCACAACATAGATCTGAGTCAGGGGACACTAATCACGTCAGAGATATGTGATCTTTTTTAATTACTTAATTTTCGTAGTTTCGAAAGATGTGACGGCCGGTATTTTACAAAACACTTTCTAAACATCGGTTACGAGTGTCAGGTGTATGTTAAAATGAATTGTTTACTCTGACAGCAACACTCCCACATCATGTTTGTTGACATTATAACGGTCCACCAGCTGACAGTAAGCGAACGCCTGAAAATTAAACTTTTTGGGTAATTTTTAGTCTTATTCGACATAAGTAAATCTATTTGACATAATATGCCTGGAATAATATACTGAAAAAACCTATATATAATTAGGAAACTTTTGGTAGTAATGACACATTAAACCCAACACCACTCGCACACTGCGACAGCTTCTATGTCGTTACCACCAAGATCCAAAACCTGTGATTTATTTTAACAAAACTGGTGTCTGGAAACAATCTGACTGCACTGATTATACAGGATATATATAAATAGAAACTTGATTAGGGACTCGGACTTAGAAATTCTAGTTTTCTGCGCAATTAGAAGAGGAAAAAATACTCAGTTACGTAAATTTTTACCTCACACTGAGGCTAGCGTAAACAGAGATGTTATCCCCTGTTAAAGACAATAATACACGTGGTTAGAATCTTTGAGAATCTGGACCCAAAACATTCCTATGACTTAACTTTAAGAATGGGAAAAATTACCTTCAACTTCATATATCCAACTTAATGTACAGAAGTTGAGAACGGCAGGAACTAAGAAAGTATCACCCAGAAGTGGAGATACATACCCCCCCCTGTATATTTGTTGAGTCATGGCACACGACACCTCTATACAAATCTACTTTATTAACCTAACACAACTCTCTCCTTCACTTCTGGTCTTATCGAATTATCATATAGTTATCCATAATTACGGTTTTCTCATGAACTTTTGCGAAATGTTGAGTTTAAATCATTCTCCTCTGACACTCAGGTACAATGTTGTGGTGAGGATACTAGTGGCGCGAACTTTATTTCTCGCTGAGTGTCGCTCTCTGGACCCCCGGGCTGTTGTTACAAGTTTCAGAGTTCATCTAATATATAAAATAAATCAATAAATACCTGTTTAAATAAATGCACACAAACACTTTAGACATTTAATTAGTGAACTTACTTAATGCACTTAAGTTTCAGAAGCTTTGCACTGATATATGATATAGTTTCCACAGGACTGTGAGAGGTGCGGCAGGCAGGGCGCGAGGATAGTAACTGGGGTGGCAATGGTGAGTCTCACTTCCATGTCCCTCACTCAGAGCCTTGGCACCAGTGCCCGCTGAAAACTGTATCGCAGATGTACTGGGAACTGACACGGGGAAACGCTTCTCGGGATTTGAGTAGATTCGCGGGTAAAGCTGATCCTTAAAACACGGTGAGTTATCGCTCACCGACTTCCCCGATCATTATCTAAATCCCACTGATTCAGAACAAGAGAACAGAACTCTGCCAGCTAGGAAACTTCGGAGCCACGAGCACAAAATAGATCACTTTCACGGAAGTTTATTGGTTGCCAGGAAGATGTGTCTCCGAGAATACACAGCAACTTTATTGAGCGTGACGAAGTGTGGCACTCTAATATGTGGCAGTGGCACCTAGGCGACGTGTTGTGGCTCAAATGTTTAACCTCAGGAGTTAACCTCGTCCCCCTCCCATGCCAAGACATACCCAGCACATCCATTAACTGTAGAGCCACACCTTCCAGACTCCACTACCACACTCCATCATCCACACACCTCCCTCACTCCACCGATGTTACCTGATCTCAACATAGTGCGGAAGGGAGGGGGAGGGAGGGAGGGTGGAGACACTTAAGGCAGTGTGGATTAAGGAATACCTGAGGATCGTCCACAAGCACCGGGTTAGTGGGTTTCATGGCTGTCACCAACGTGGAGGATTGTCTGTGTGGTTGTGGCAAGAGCTAGTAACTTTATTTTCGAAAGTGACAGTAATTACTACATTTTAATTTATTATGTGTGGCGTGTGTGTATGTAATGAAGATCTGAGTACATGTAGTTATGCTCCAGCGGATCAATGATGCACTGATGATAGTACAGTAGTTATGAGCGGAGTGTTTATTAAGGCTGTACAACACAAGTTAAATCCAGTGGTTTTAATTGTTTCCCTGTGTGCATAACGGGTGGTGGTAGTGGTGGTAACATCCTATCTCCAAATTGGTTTTATTAATTACCTTTTAACTATTCAATTAGCATAAACCTACAGGTACATGGCGTATGTACACAAACAGATGTCCTCTGGAGTAACAAATTTGAATGCGTTTTCTGAACCTTTAAGTACTCCTGAAGGAGTGAACGGGAGAGACCTATTTCATTTATTGCCAACACTGACTTCCCTAATTGAAGTCTATTATTTATGAAGCTATAAAGTTAAGCAAGTGATCAACAACTTCAACAGGAACTATTGTTCTTTTGTAGATCGACAGTAGTTATTTAGTGTGTTAATTTAGTACTAATTGACACATTGAACATTATACATAAACAAGGACAATTAATGCTTTACACACACACACACACAGACGACATATCTGAGCCACGCACCGAGGACCTGATGAGTTACTGTGGGGTACGGGTTGTTGGTTCGTATTCAGGATGGGATGGAGAAAGGACACTCACAATGCGCTCTCTGTTTACATATTGTTTTGGATGTACAGTGCAGCTTGGTGCTGGGAAGGCAGCGTGGTTACAAGCGTGATGTAGAGAGAGCTGGTTGGTGAGGATGCTCAGAGGAGGACCAGCTTGTGGGTCGCCATGCTCGCCGGCGGGAGCGAGGGCCGCCAGGCAGGAGGAGGAGGAGGTGTTGCTTGCTGGTTGGTGTAGGTAGAAGAGAGAGGTCACCACGAGGTCAGGTCTTATATAGCGGAGGTAGGCGTGGCTTAATAGTTGACCTCCGTCATGTAAGGCGGCGCTGGCTGACCTAGACCACGAGGCATACACTGGGGAATTCGCGGGGTCGGCTACACAGCGACAAGCGTTTGTAGGGGAGGAATCCACTACATAACAACCATTATTTCAGTGAGTCTTGGCCACAACTTAACCTTTTATCAACAAGAGTTTTGTCCAGGTCAAGTTGTTCCCATTGGCCAAAAGACAGTCAGTCAGGTGTGGGTTTGGCATCACCTCAACACATTAAACAATAAATTAATTTTAGATGAGTTTAGCCAGCCATGTGTCCACTTTTTCTTATCTAACTGGTCAACGTTCTTGGTGTGTGCGTGTGTTGAGGTGCAGCTGACGAGTGCCAACAAGTAAAGTAGTTCTTTGTTTATCCTAGTTACACTAGATGTGAACGTCCATATTTGTAAGTGTTGATTATTAAATAATAAGACAAATCTGAAAGTAATAGAGTTTCTCACATTGCCTCAAAAACTGTAATGTAGTCAGTCCCTTGTATAAGTGTTTTGTTTCTAGCCTTTACTCTTAAGTGATGCGCGTCATAGTCTCAACTCGCACCTGAGATTTTGTTCCCCATAACTGCAGGGAGGAGAACCAAGCTTCTAAAGGCGGTATACACTAGCCTCTGACTAATTTCATATTTGTTATACAAGATTTTGTACTACTGAGTTTACATGGTGCACGTGACGTGAGGCTGCTGGCTAACACGCACATCACCCTCCACCTCAGAAAAGGACATCGGGGTCAGTATTTACATTTTTTTTACGTACACTTTTGTCAATATATTCCCCACGTGTATAATCGTCTTATGAAATGTGTAACAACTAAACAGTGTAAATTATACGCTTGAATATCTGGACACAGAAAGTTGTCTACTGTGTCAGGTTTTCACCACTCGAGGATATAACTCTTGTTCACCCACCCTGACGAGTTCATTAACTACACAGCCAAACCCAGAGATTAACCTCCTTTACCCCTGTCACTAGCCAGTGATTGATTGATTGAACCCTCTGCCGTTTATCTTCCCCTTGTGTACTTATCTTGTCTACCTCTAATTTTTTCACCCCAGCTAATTTAAACCGTTGATTAACCACTCTGTCTTTCTACGGGAATTAGTTAAGGTTGTGTTAGGTTAAAGTACAACATATCACTTAAATACTAACAAGAACCTGTAGGCACAAGACACTATGCAGTATTAAAATTCGCGGTAAACACTGGCAGCAGTTTTGTCACCACACATTGTATTCATTGTAGGGTAGGAAAAGTTTACTGTTACGTTAACGACAAAAAATATCATCAAACATCTCAATGCGTTCACTGAAGAAGGATGACGAACACTTTTTGCATTTATTCCAATTTATTTCACTTTCTCCCAGGAAAAGTCAGAGAGTGTTGTGACGGCACCGAGTGTGAGCTCTTTCAAGAGAAGACTTGACCAACACTGGAGCAGGTTCAGGTACATTCAGGAGCTGGTGCATGCCCAGTATTTGCCAACAGTGCGTGACAGAGACGTGACCGATCGCCCGGGCGGCTAGCGAGCCGATCAGTGGTGAAGAAGATAAAAGTAAAAGTAAAAGTCAAAGAAAACGTTCCCATAACCACCGTTCTTCTTCACGCTTATGGGGTAACACATTTGTTTCACAACCTCCTGGCAGTACATAAAGTCTCGTATACACAGTATAGATTTTTTTATCATATTCGCCACTTATCAGCTTACTAGCCGTTTGGGCGGCAAATTCAATAAAAATAAACAATCACGTACAGCTTAAGGGGACAACACTTACCGCAATGCTGTCCTCTGGTAACTGAATACTGCAATTCCGTTGGTTGATGTGTTTGTGGATGGCGGTGGCTGTTTTACTTCTGGTAATGCTGTGTTCTTGGGTGTTTAAACTGCTCGTGTATAGGTCCCCTTACGTCGTTTACTCTTTTGGCGTCGAGTTAAACATGCTACGCTTGGCGGGTCGGGGAGTGTGAAAACGTTAAACAGTGGATGCTTCATCACTCAGTCGGTACAGTATCTTCCTAGAGGTGCCGTGACGTCACTCTTGGAAAAAAGGCCGTGTCACCACACGCGTGAAGGCCAGCTGGGGGAAGTACAGGGCCATGCCACACCACACCACTGTTAACCTTTATTTTTCGTTTTCCTTCTAAATTTCTATATCATTTACAGCAATAATGATTTGTTTGTGACAACCTAAGCCACTTTACCTGAGGGATATGAATCTAAAACAGCTGAAATTTCACAGATTAATTCATACAGTTTAACTTTATTAATTCGTTTATAATATCATATTGCTAATGTTAGTGCAGCGCAATTAACTTCACTTTTTCTAACACTTATTATTTCTAAAATTACTTACTCAGGTTTACTTTGGATACACTGTAATACGTTTCAGTTTTTCTTAACCGAACAAGGTCCGGGTATAGCGCCAAACGTTTCCTACTTGTGTTGAGTCACTACCCTATACTACACAAAGCGGAAGTGACTATAATTCTTCTCAGATATTTCCTTATAATTAATCAAATAAGATTTTTGAATCTTTGTTTATTTTTTAGTAATTTCACTTAGTTATTTGTACCTAGATAAACAAGGAATAATAAGTGTTCAGGCTTTGTAAGATAAACATAATTATTCTGAAATATACGAGTATAAGACGTTAAATGAAGAAACTAACACCATTTCTCTCAACCTTAAACGTTTTCAGGATGTATTTTCCAGTCCTGCTCGAGTTTGTATCTCGGCGAGGAATTTGGCTATTTATTTCATTCACTAATTTTACTTAACACGATCTTTACTGTCATAATCACTGTTGTTGTTGTGGGGTGTTATGTCATGGAGACCGTTATGTCATGCTTGAAGAACATCATCAAATATTCTTTAAGGAATGGCAATAAAATAGGTGAGCATGTCACACTTGACGCTGGAGATGTGGCTAGTGTGTCACCTTAAGTAAATAAACATGACACATCCAAAGACTTAGTAGTAAATAAGATGACGAGTTGGCGCCATTATGTTGTCAACTATGTGCTGTCATCATCAATATTACTGTTGTCATATGGTGTGTCGCTGAGTCATAGTCTCTCCCTCAGTACTTGCCCCACACCACCTGTAGACGGGCTCCTGCTGGTAGACAGGAGCACGGGGGTACACCTCATTTCACCTAAGGTACGTTGGGATGGTCGTAGGCTTCCCGAATGGTCCGCTTCTACCTCTAGTAAATTACATTGTCTTTTAGATGCAGTTGACTATGTGTGACTTTCAACCTGCCCTCCAGATCCTCTCCTCACCGCTGGTTGAATGGCACCGCTGTTCTCGCCATTTCCCCTCAAAATTGTGTCAACTTACTTTTGAGATATGATCCTTTTCACTCAAGTTTGTGTCAAGATGACGCAACATATCAAAATATCTGGTGCTCATTAAATAGGGAAAATTACTAATCTACATTTTGTTCACGTTCTGTGACC